AGTGGCTCAGTCTGAATCTTGAAGTGTGAAAGCAGTAAATGCATCTGTCTTGCTTTAGTTAAACTCTTTAAATGTTATGTATAGTCAAGACTTAATCATCTGCTTTTGATTTTTACACATGTAGAATTACATAGTCAGAGTCAGAGTCAGGCTTTTTAGTAAATATATATATATTTATATTCTTCAAGGGAGCATCTGAACAAAGCATCTTGGCTCATTTAACCAAAGGGTGAAAATCCAATTGAAAAGTAAATGATAGCAAATGTGGGAGGAAACTAAATTTAAAATCATTTGTCGCGTGAATACTGTTCGACTTCTGATTTTTTTTTCTTTTTGGTCAGCAGCTGATTTTTTGTGATTTCATTTCACTCTCTGTTTCTAAAAAAAAAAAAACAATGCAAAAAGCATCTCGACCTACAGGCGGAAAACACAAAACGCCTTTTCAGATCGGGTCAAAGAACGGATGAACGTCTTTTAATGAATCTGTATTTCTTCTTTGTAAAAGATTGTTTAAAGTCTTTCCAGAAGGAAACAGTTCAATGCAGCGACACGGCAAAGTTTGAAACGCTGATGACGTTAAAACCTCAAACTTCCTGCCGCTTAAGAGACAGTTAAGATCTGACCAATCAACGGTCACGGTCGGTTTGTTTGGACCTCCGTTTGTTTATTGACTCGTTGATTTGCTGCATTTGTCCCGTGGCGCTCTTTTTTCTCGTAAACACAGCGTTATCTTTTGGTTCTGCCATCGCTCTGTTATCTGTTTCCTGTTTTCTCTCAAACTTCCCCTCGGTGATCACGGCAGTTTAAAGTTTCATCTAATCTAATTTGATCTATAGCGCTGGTATGTCAAATATAATACACGCACACACACGAGGCCAGGCGTCGTTTTTTTGTTTTTCCACCTATCAACTCTTATCAGCTCGTCTAAGGCATTTCTTTGAATTTTTCTGTGAGGTTTGAAGAACTCAGCGGCAAGTGACTGCAAAACCTCCATACCACAGATGAGACACTACACCAGAAACCCCGATGTCAAATGCAACACCTGATAGCGGGGGGGATTGGTTTTCTTACTGCATACCTCCACCAGGTGTAGGCTTTAGGCTTTTTTTTTTTTTTTTTTTTTTGTTTTTTTAATGGGTGGGGGCTGCGGAGTCACGAATCAGGATGAGAGCGTGTACTTTCAGGATATTGAAGAGAGGCCCCTGAAGGAAACCTCAGACTGCACCTCGAGAGGATCATTATGTCAAGAGAAAAGACAGGAACACCTCAACACCTCCCTGTCCTGATCAGACCAGATCTGAGAGCTAATAAAGAGCTCGGTCTGTCAGCGAGCTGAAGGAAAACGTTGGAGGGAAACAAGTGTATATTGAGTCGTTTGACACAGAGATTACTCATGAGTATATGAAGATTCAAAATAAAATATAGAACAATAATGCTTTTTTTTCATCTTGATAATTTACAAAGCATCAGAAGAATTCTTTTTTTGGACCATGCAGAAGTCCAAAATGATGGTTAATTCATTATTGTGTCTTGTTGCCTTTCCAAAGGTGTGTAAATACGCCAAATAACTGAGCGTCCTCCCTGTCAGCTCTGATGATCATATATATCTTTGATTGCACAGCCACAATTTTGCACAGCTCTGGAGAACCCCCTATATTGTTATTACATATTTACCACTATCATGACTGTTTCTGCAAACCTACACCTCTTACCTCCAGCAAGTATTTTTACATTCAGTTGACAAGGCTGAATAAATGTTGTATTTCATTTTTCTTTTCTTTTTTAAATCAGTAAGAATGTGAAGTTAAATCCTTAATGTATAAATCTCTTCTTATTCTTATTTTTTTATATTCTAAGTATTTATCTATCTATTCTTACATTGTTTTATTTGCTCTGATAACCTGCTGCTGTAACACCACAATTTCCCAGTTTGGGATCAATAAAGTAATTCATCATCAACAAAACATAAAAAATGACAGGGGCGCCAGTAGCCCAGTGGTTAGTGCATGCGACACATGTACAGAGGCTCGAGTCCTCGAGAGTGGGAGACCCCCCATCATTTTTCTGTAAAGAAGTCATTTTGTAAATAACTAATAGAGCGCCACAGGAATGAGTCCTAAAACCCTGAAGTAAGTTAGCATTTGAGCGCCATGGGGTCTAACGTCTAAAAGTCAACGGGGATTTTGAATGGGTTTGTGGTTAGACGCCTGAAATAAGGTCTGTGGTTAACACAAGCTGAAGAGATGTTGGTGTTTTGTTAGACCACATAAACTACATTAGGTAATACCTCCACTTGTGAAGTTTGAAGTTTTTACTCGTCTTTAAAAAGGCGGTTGCTAACAAGCAGCTAAATGTGACTACAGTGGTTGTCGGGGACATTAAACGTCATCACGCCGGACACAGAGGGCGGGAACTCTCTCACTAGTCGGAGATGTCTCCTGTAGGTTTAATCTTTAGGTTCAGGTGAATATTATGTTAGTAAACTATTTATTAAACTACGTGGATTAGTTTATCGGAGATCGTCTGAAGCATAACGCTAGTGACGTCACAATCATCCCACCGTGGTGTAGTTAGCTTGTAGCATAACGTTAGCTTTTTACTTCTGTCAGCCGCATTAACGCTTCAAAAATCATAAAAATGGCGTTCATCTGTGAAGATTATCCTGCTGAACAAAACGCCTACGCTTCAGAAACGTGTGTTTGCCACAGAGATTATTTTCTGCAATGATCCAAAATCCAATGAAGACATCCCATCGGGCATATTCTCGTTAGACCCCAGGGCGATGCTACTTCCGGGTTGGCCTACAAAAATACGTCATATGGTTTGTTCTCTATATGGCTCAAACTTAACTCATCATAGATTCTTCTTTACACAGCAGTACACACAAACATGTCTCTGAGAAAGCGTGACTGGGATAACAATGGTGAATCTGTGTTTTCAAAGCCGGCCAAGGCACGCACGCCACTGTCTGAATTGTTTAAAAAACTGTCATTTTCTGAGCTGGTCACGAGGCCAGCATGACATTTCTATCATATCCATGAGCCTCGAAAGTCTAAATATACACAGCATGGATTTACAGTCAGGGTGAGGTCTATCCTGTATATGTCATGTGTGTTTTCTGTCAAATGGGGAATCAAACCATGAGTCATGTTACAGTTCAAAGACAAAGTTTGTTTTCTCTGTTCTCCTATCTGTTTCTGAGTTCTTTGAGTCCTGAGGGACGGTAGCACTTTCTCTCTTGAAGACAATGTGAATCACGCGGCAGACGAACGGAGAGAGACAAATCTGTCACACAAAGGAGTGTTTGTACGATTGCTCCCAGTCTGCTGTGAGATCACGAGGAAGCTCTGTGAGACAGTATACAGACGCTACACAGACATCATGGAAAAAGCTCAGTAACATCTGACTGCAACGGGAGCCAAAGTCATGCGTTCTTATTTAAGGGGGTCGGCAGTAGTCCAATGGTTAAGGATGGAGGTTTCCCAACGCAGGGTTGTCAGTTTAAAATCCATCGGCAGGGCACCACTGGAAGTAGATTATTTGACCCGTGCAAAAAAAGTGAAAAAGTTAAGGGATGTTGTCAGACAAATGTCCCCAAAAATAAAGAGAAGAAAAAGCTAGATGTACTCGAGTATTCTAACAATCAGAACAAATATACCACTTGAGGCCCACTTTGAATTCTTAATAGACACTTTGACAGTAAACTCCATACATGGATACATGCCAGCTTAATTGGCACTTACAGATTGCCAGCGTAATGCGGGATATTGGCGCCTCTGATGCATCCTGTCTGAAATGTGTAACGCATGGAGGCGGGTTGGTGGGGCGAGTCATTCCACCCCTGATCCCCTAACGGAGGTAGCAGCAGAAGTGTAATGGGGACCCGAGCTAGGAATGTGTAACATGGTGGAACAGCGCCGTGTGTGTGTGCCATGCCTGAGTGTGTGTATGTGAAGCTCCCACTGAGTTTGCTCGCCTTGTCTCTTGCGCTTCCACAGGCATAACGCAAAGTCAACGCACACACTGGGAAACCAGTTTTACTTATTGTGGCTTGTTTAATATAAGCTTAAAACAAAATGTTCTCACTGAAAACATGAACAGCTGCCAAGCCAGGTTGCCATGGTAGCACAATCAAGAGGTAGCCAGGCCCTTCAGCATACTTTACTTCATCATTGATTTCCTCCAAATAAAAACAACAATTTCCAATTCCCATTTTGAAGAAGACTTCAAACAAGGGATTGAGATCCTGAACGTATTAGGAAAAAGTTCACTGTTACAAAAAACGACTGATGAGTAATAGAAAAAGTCGATGCTCAATTCTACTGTGGAAATGATGACAGAACAGTCAGAGCTATCCATTGTAGATTTAAGTCCTTTACAGTGAGTGGTAACTGAACGCTGAATGGATAGCTTACTTCCCCAATAGCATGTCTTTTTGAAATTTATGAAAAAATTGTATTTCCATATAAAAGTCCTTCTGGTGACCCTTCCCTATCCTTTCAAACCAATGAAAGTTGAAGTACTTGCTTTCTTTGTTGCACTCCTTATAAAATAAATAAAATGGAGAATGTCCCCCGGTGGTGGAATGAACTTCCAAACTCCATTGGATCTGCAGAGTCCCTCTGCACCTTTAAGAAAAAGCTAAAGACCCAGCTCTTTCATGAATACCTACTAACTTAATGATGATGGTCTCCATATTATTGATGATGATGATGGTTGTGACGATGGTTTTTGTTTGATAACGACGACTTATAAGATGGTTTCTATACTGATTAGAGCTCTCAAGAACTGCCCTCAATGTTGTGCTTTGCCTCTGGTCACTTCCTGTCAGCACCTGTGTGTCCAATCAGACTCAAAGCTGATCGTTTGCTCTTACTGACGTTGTTCCCTTTTTTCTAGATCCTTGCTTGTGTTGTTCTTACTCTCTGATGTACGTCGCTGTGGATGAAAGCGTCTGCTAAGTGAATTGTAGAATTGTAGAATTGTAGAATGTAACTCACCTCTGCTCCAGAATACTTGTCGGTCTTAGTCACCAGGTCATCGACGGGCACATTCTGGGCCACCGGCATGTTGCGGAACTGGAGAGAAAATATCTCACGTCGAGTTGGAACATCTGGAAGAGGCACATAGACGATTCGGTCGAGGCGACCTGGACGCATCAGAGCCTGTGGGAATGGAAAAGAGACAGTCAGCCTTCTGGTTCACCATCATATTTCACAGACTGTCACACACAGGTCCGTCCGGTTTAAGGCTTAAATACATTAATACTGAGCAGCAGTGAAATATTATTTGGCCTGCTGAGCGTAACAGATGTGAAAGTGATGTGTTTTCAAACTCTTTCCGATAATATTTTTGTATATAAATGGTTTTCTGTGTGAAAGGAATTGTCAGGTTACAATGGCTCTGATCCCATGACCTCTGTACTCAGACTCCAGCACTAATTGGACGCTTATTTCAACAAGACCACAAACCAAATGAGCAAAAATGCAAACTAAGAAAATCCTTCTCGTAGTCATTCAGACAATGCTGACGTTATCTGATCAACCCTCCACTTCCTACAGATCACATCTCGGTGACCCCACAACAGTCCTTGAGAACCCAAAGCCGCCGCCGTCTCGCTTGTCAGACGTCATTAAGTGGCAGGCGCCTCTTGCACACAGACAGGCAGACGGACGGACAAATATGCCCTGTCTCCATTCACGCTTCTAACCAGGCCATGACAAGCTGTGGGATGATATGGTATAGCTTTGTTTGCTTTGGGTTGTGTATCCATTTAACCAGACAGCTAGCTGAAGAACTGTTAGACTTGGAAATAACTAAATGGATTTTTACCGGTGTTCATTTAAAATGTAAGCTCACTGTGATTGAAAGGATTGAACAAATATCAAATGGAACTTGACAGTTTCATTGTTCTTATTTTCCCATGAGTCAGTGAGGCCTGGTTTATAAGGACAGTGGAGCCACTGGCTCTGGGCCAGACAGGCCACAGCAGGACTAAACCCCGGCAAGTGGAGACGAGGCAGGAGACACATGCAGACGCAAGCCATGCAAGAGGTCACGTCAGGAGTGATCAGTGAAGGTTGGGGGGACTGGACCAGCAGCCTTTGAACTCTTTGTTTACACAGTCATCACAGTGATTTTTACTGGTTCTGTGGATGCACCAAGGGATCTTCCAAGCTGGATGGCCTCCTTGTTTCTTAAATATACATAGACTGTTATCAGACCACATATGGTTGTCTTTTGTACTTCAATACTTTACCATACCACATGTTTTAAAACAATACAAATCACCATTATTTTAATGATCTTTAGTATGGAAAAGGACTAAACCTTTCAAAAAACTTCTGATTTTCTGACTTTTTTAAAAAAAGAAAAGCTGCAGAGAGCAAAGATAAAGAGCAATGCAAATGCTTAAAATACATTTGGTACCAAAAAGTTCCTGACATCGTTGTGCAGTTCAAACAGTGTAAAGGAGTTTCAGTGTATTTCTTTGGTAATTAAAAACAAGAAATTACCCAATACTGTGTGTCTAGGATTTCTATTTGTGTTGCCCTGCTTTCAAAACAGGTTTGATTTTTAATATCATACCCAAGTTTAAAATCCTGGCATCATGATAACCCTAGTAGAACATTTACAAGTTTGCTTAAAATTACAGAGAAAGCAAGACAAACTGCACGAGTAAAGACTTTTAGTGAAGCGTGGCATTACTTAGGTGAGTACCCAAGTGATGCTCAAATCAATCGTCAAAGTCATTTATCATTTAAGCTATTTATGAAACAAACAGCTGCACCATTCAGCATCTCAATCATGGAGATTTACTGCTTCCCCCCCCCCAATTATTGTCATGTAACTAAACTTAATTGGGGTTTTGGACTGTCGGTCTGATGATATCAGCCATTTAAAGATTCCCACTTTCCCACATTCAGAGTAGAAATCTCCTGGTTTTAAGAAATTTCAAGGACAAAATACTTCTCTGAAAAGTAATTGAATGTTGTAACAATAATTAAAAAAAAAGGCGACCCAAAATGGATCTTGAGATAATGGTCACCAACGTTGAGAATTAACCTTTCACCTTTTAAGCCAATGTGGACAAGGAGTCAAAGAAATAATTCATATGTGAAAGCCCACAATTACATGTCAACTCATGCTCACTCTCATAGAGATTGTAAATAAGCCTGGAACAATTGGGATAATGAGAAGCATTGAGAGTTGGGGGCCTATACTATGAAGGAAACCAATGGTCTTTACCATGTTGCATTTGAAGTCCATCTGCCTGCAAAGTGTGCCGGATGCACTTTTAAGAGTTTGTTTTATGGTCTGCTTTATTTCCCCTCTGGTTAACCTATTCCTGTACACTGGGTGAGATGGACAGCTTTCCTGCCTTTTATCTGCTCTTTTCTGTGTTCCTGTGTGTATGGAACATGAGAGGATGGAAACTGGAGACAAACATTAGTAGCTGCCTGTAGGTAACCACAACAGAGCCATGGCTGACGAAGAAGAAGCAATGGATCACGAGAGGAAATGTTGTTGTTTTCAAGTCTCCCGGATCGTTGGAGGAGAGGAGAGGGTCTGGCTGTAGGTGAAGAATTATCAGCATAAAACGGAGTGAGAGAAATAACGTCAGTGTGAATGAAAGTATGAAAGGGTTGCTGTTTTTTTTGGGGGGGGGGGGGAGAAGGATGGATGGCTGCATCATTAAAGGGATACTTCACCCGTTGAAACATGAGTCTGTATTGACATTGGGTCATATATGTTGTAGAAATGTGAAATACATTTTGAAGTTGGTGCCTTCTTGGCCGAGAAAAGGCAGAAAGTGTCTTTTTGGCTCATGTGGATGAAAGACACCAAATCCCAGAATGCACAGCACCGCAGGCCACTCCCACTAAGGTCAGAATCAGAAATACTTTATTAATCCCAGAGGGAAATTCGATCGTTACAGTTTCTCCAAAATATACAGTGTAGCAGTAGAAATATAGTAATAAAAAGACCGGCCTGTCGGCAGCAGCTGCCTCGCCGCTATATTTATATTTTTTCACCATTATCAGCTTTCTCCATAGAGCCTGTTAGCATAGCTTCCAAGCAATATGGCGGATGTTAAGTTTCGATTCTGGGAGTGAGTTCCCACCTACTGATCTGTGATTGGTCTGTAGCTTCAGTGGTGGAAAATATGAGGAACTAGCCTTGTAGTTTCACCCCGCTAACAACAACAGCTTCCAGTGACGCAAAAATCGTCATTTATGTGTCACTGGAAGCTCCGTTTGAGACTCAGAAATACAAAGATTTCCCATCTCAGGGGAAAATGAGGGCGGGATGCACGACCATTCAAAAATACTACCAGGTTTCTAATGATACAAAGATTAATACAAATGGGGGAAGTATCCCTTTAAATAAAAGTCATGGAGGCTTGAGAATCTGGGAACTTGATAAGATGTGTCAGCAAAAACAACAATAAAACAACACACAAGAGAGTTAGTGGTTCTTCCTTCAGGTAACTGGTCTCTGTGCATGCAGGAGGTGAGGCTGGTGCACGCTGAAGTTGTTTTGTCACAGCAGGTTGAGCGAGTCGCGGCAGTGCACCATGCAGAGGACGTGCAAAGGGACACTTCCTGAGTCGCTCTCCCTGGAAGTATCTGGAGGCAGCATGCCAACACAAACCTGTTGACCCACGGCTAAATAAATCACACAGACGGACACTCCCCTGACAAACTGACAAACTGACAAACTGCACATGCAGACACAATCACAACAAACGCTCTGTTTGCTCTGCCGTTCATTTAGGATTCATTTTTCTCATTTTATGTTTCTCACTTTATCTGCCGTTGATTCTCTCCACAAACATAACGATGAAGTGTCTGTGACTTCCAGGTGCTCAAGCTCCGAGGGTTCCAAGGCAACAGAGCCGACCCTCAGCTTTGAGACTGCTAAACTCATCTGACTGACCCCCCCCCCTTCCTCTCAGCAAGAGCAGGGGGCCCATCCATCACTTAACAAGATACACTTCCTGTTCTCAAGGATCAGGGGAGGGGGGATGAGGAGGAGGAGGAGGAAGAGGAGAGGGGGAGGAGGAGGAGGAGGAAGAGGAGAAGAAGGAGGAAGAGGAGGAGGAGGAGGAGGATGAGGAAGAGAAGGAGAAGGACGAGGAAGAGGAGGAGGGGGAAGGAGAAGTAGGAGGAGGAGGAGGAGGAGAAAAAGGAGGAGGAGGAGAAGGAGGAGAAGGACGAGGAAGAGGAGAAGGACGAGGAGGAGGAGGAAGAGGAGGAGGAGGAGAAGGAGGAGGAGAAGAAGAAGGACGACGAAGAGGAGGAGGGGGAGGAGAAGGAGGAGGAGGAGGAGGAGAAGGACGAGGAGGAGGAGAAGGACCAGGAAGAGGAGGAGGGGGAGGAGAAGAAGAAGGACAACGAAGAGGAGGAGGGGGAGGAGAAGGAGGAGGAGGAAGAGGAGGAGGAGGAGGATGAGGAAGAGAAGGAGAAGGACGAGGAAGAGGAGGAGGGGGAAGGAGAAGTAGGAGGAGGAGGAGGAGGAGAAAAAGGAGGAGGAGGAGAAGGAGGAGAAGGACGAGGAAGAGGAGGAGGGGGAAGGAGAAGTAGGAGGAGGAGGAGGAGGAGAAGAAAGAGGAGGAGGAGAAGAAGGAGGAGGAGGAAGAGGAGGAGGAGGAGGAGAAGGACGAGGAGGAGGAGAAGGACCAGGAAGAGGAGGAAGAGGAGGAGGAGGAAGAGAAGAAGGAGGAAGAGAAGGAGAAGGACGAGGAAGAGGAGAAGAAGGAGGAAGAGGAGGAGAAGAAAAAGGAGGAGGAGGAGAAGGAGGAGAAGGACGAGGAAGAGGAGGAGGGGGAAGGAGAAGTAGGAGGAGGAGGAGGAGGAGAAAAAGGAGGAGGAGGAGAAGGAGGAGAAGGACGAGGAAGAGGAGAAGGACGAGGAGGAGGAGGAAGAGGAGGAGGAGGAGAAGGAGGAGGAGAAGAAGAAGGACGACGAAGAGGAGGAGGGGGAGGAGAAGGAGGAGGAGGAGGAGGAGAAGGACGAGGAGGAGGAGAAGGACCAGGAAGAGGAGGAGGGGGAGGAGAAGAAGAGGACAACGAAGAGGAGGAGGGGGAGAAGGAGGAGGAAGAGGAGGAGGGGGAGGAGAAGGAGGAGGAGAAGAAAGAGGAAGAGGAGGAGGAGGGGAGGAT